GTAGCTCAAGCCCAATCTGCCTTTCTGATTTTTAATCAATATCATTCTTATTCATTTTTACTTCTTCTGTCTTAAATATGAAGAAAAGTAAACAAGTTACTTGACAGGGTTCACTAGGAAAAATGAATAGTATGATAAGAAATATGAAGGTGCTGAAAGGAAAACAGTAGCTAAAACTCAGCGACCTTTAAATTAGATGATAGAAAATACCCGAGATCCATTTTAAACAGCTGAGTTTAAGTACTAAGCTTTTAGTATTTAAATTCAGTTGTTATCCTTCAATCACATACCCCAGGAATTACATTCCCTAAATCACAGAGACAGCCTCCCTTCAACCATAGATTAGTTATAAATTCATGCAGTAAATAAAAAATTAAAATAAATGTGTCTTAGAAAATTTCAGGAGCCATACAAAGAGAGAAGTTAGTCTTTTAAGTATATAGCTATTATACATGAGTATATATAATAGGTCAGATGAAAATGCCTTAGGCTGTGCAAATTAGTTAACAATTTTAGAAGGAACTAATTTTTCTTTCCTAGTGGCACATTTATTGCCTCTACTCTTATAGTTTATATAAAAAAATTCAGTATTTATTGCTTATTGTCATTTAAGACTTTTCTTTCCATTTTGTGTCTGTAGTGCAACTGTATTAAGAAAACAATGAATAAACCCTCAATCACAGGGGTTTCCATTGGGTATTTATTGATTAACCATGGCTACTTGTAATATAACAGCAGTGACCCTGAATGTATTCAACAAGATGCTATTCTGCTTTAACTTTTAAGTACTTTGCTTTAGATTATGGGTTTGTTTCTATTTAAACTTTGTTTCTATCGAATGTACATAGGTAGACTCATCAAGTTTGTGGATCATTTGTGGGAAATTTTAAACTATAGTTCTGTGATGTGTTACTTATTTTCTACTTTTTTCCCCCTTTGGTGATACTAGGGTTTGAACTGAGGGCTTAATGCTTGCTAGGCAGGTGTTATACCACTTGAGCCACTCTGCCAGGCCTTTTTGTGTTGGGTATTTTCAAGATAGGGTCTGGAGAACTATTTGCCTGGGGATCCTCCTGATCTCTACCTCCTGCATAGCGAGGATTATTACAGGCTGAAGCCCCTGGTGCTGGGCTGTTGCTTGTTTTCAATACTGCTTTCTGCTAATGCCATATGTCACAACAGGGAATATCAATTACTCCAGTGGAATAAGGTTTACAGTGCTTCTAACTTACTTCACAAAGAAAATGTTTTCCAATAATGCATTTTTCTTCCAAGTATTGATTTTGTTAATTTAAATAGTCCTTGACATAAAACTGTTGGACTTACGATATTTTGGCTTTTTGATGGTGAAAGTTATATGCATTTAGTAGAAACCATCCTTAGAATTTAGAATTTTGGCCTTTTTCCAGGCCAGTGATATGCCGTATGACATTCGCTTGGAATGCTGGATGGGAGATACAGTGAGCCACGCTCCCACCTGCCACAAGATCACGAGGGCAAGCACAGCAACACACTGTTGCTAAACTATGGTTTTGTCTTAGGATATTTTCAATTTTTGATAGGTTCATCAGGATGTACTCCCACTGCAAGTTAGGGAACATCTGTACTAGAAAATGGCTGGATAACTGAACAAAATTTTCAGTCTTCACTGCACTGTTCTAGTATAGGTAAACAAATCCAGGAAAAAGACATCCAAAAGCTAATCAGATAAAAAATATCTACAATTAACAGTTTGAGTTCCTTGTTCATAGAATATTAAAACTTTATTTGTAACTAGATGAGGAAAACCGGAAAGTCAACATAAGCCCTCAAACCGAATGTCAAATTGTCAACGTGTGTTTCTAGAGCCCTAACTGTCAAACATTCGGGTTATTTTGGAGAACCACAGAATTGAAAAGTCCTTTTTTGCCATGTAAACAACAGGTATGATTTTCTACACTGGAAAAACAAAGTATGATATCTGTCTTACTTCATTTAAATATGACTTTATATGACAGTATTGATATAACTTCTTTGGCTGAGCAGTTATAACTGCAGATAATCCACACTTCAGTCTGAATATAAAGTTTTAATTGCTTTACCAACAGGGAAACAAAAGAATACATCCATCTTATAGCTTAAAAGTATAGTCTTAAACTAGTTCAAAACTTTTAAACTGATGAACATTCAGTTACCAGCTTTATCAAATGGTACAAAAATGCCTTTACTGAACAAGTATTTGCATAATGCATGTTGCATGTATTTTAAGAAGCTTGCCTTATTCCCTATTTAATGGATAGAAAAACTGGATGTGTTTAAGTTTCAAGGAATAGACAGAAGTACCTGAATTACGATATTTCTAAGTCTGGTGTCAAATCACTTTTAGAACTAATAAACAATTTTAATTTTTTTTTCAGGAAAGCTGTGAGTCATTATATCAGTTGCAGTACTATCTTTTATCTACACCTCTTAAAAAAATTTATCTCTGCTGCTAAAAACTCTCTAACTATAGATAAGGCTTAAGTTACTGGGCCCAAAAGCAGAGCCAATTTTTCTGCTGGAGTAGAAAGGAGGTATTTATCATTCATATAGTCTACTCACAAATCAGCAGAGGTTTGTGCACTGAAATTCAATGGCAGATACATATAAAAGGAAACTGTATGTGTCAGTGCTAACAGAAAGTGCCTCGAGGTTTTCAGAGGGTACTGCTGTTTTCTGATCTTAGTGACTTGACTGGGTGGACAGGATCAATACCAAACGATCAGAAGTTAGTAAAGAAGACCTAACACTTAAGTCTTTAAATACAAACTTTGAAAAGAAAACAATAAATAATGAACACAAAAATAAGATGCTTAAAGTAAGGCAAAGCAAACCAAAAAAGGACATAAGTTAAAACATTAAAATGAGAAAGAAATCACTTCATATGGTTCAAAGTTTGGTATTTGTTTCTTAATTCTAAATGTAACTTTTATCTACTTTATTTATTTATTTTGAGGCAGGGTCTCATGAAGTTGTACATGCTAGTCTGGAGCTCTCTGTGTAGCCCAGGCTGGCTTTGAACATGTGACCCTCCTGCCTCAGCTTCCCATGTGCTTGGGTTCTAGGTTTATCTAAGTTTTGAAAGGTACACTCAAACTGTGGCTTTTGGAATCATGTAATAAAACATTATTTTCCCAATAGTATTATAAGCAATGGTAATACAGCTTTCTACAGTTTCTAAATCATTTCTTGGGAATAGGTGCTTTTAAAAAAACATGCATTTAGACTGTGCCCCCTGCATATTACTACTCATTACATGCTGTGATATTTTATTAAACGGCTCAATCACTGCCTGCTTTACATTAAATTAGTGATGCTTTTGAGGGCTTTTCAGCCACTTGAAAACCTTTTACACAGATTTGAACAGCTTTGTATCTAAGGCTCCTATAATAACTTCATGAAAAGTTTCTTTCATTTATCTTTTAAAAGTATTTTCCAACTTAGAACTCTCCTACTTTCTTGTGTCTATGGCTCAAATGACATTAAAGAGAAAGGAAGTGACATGAACGACTGATCAATGACTTCTTAATGTAATGCAAACACCTGTACACTATGGTTAAATTTCAATTATTTATTAACTAGCCATTCATTTTGGGTTGTCCTGTTCATGTTTAGGATATATTCTCTTCAAAAAGGATTCACCAGAGGGGAGGGATAATACAAGTAGCTGACCATATAAAGATTACCAAATGTTATCAGCTCAAGTTTAATAGGGTAACAAATACTGATAAAAACTATTTTATATTAAGAATAATTTTAATTCAAGCTTAAAACTGGTATCCCTTGGACAGGATGAGACCTAAGGACACTTTCTGTTTAGCTTGTACAGTGTTAAAAAAGCAAATGGGGTACAACATTTAATAAATCAGAGGTCGTGTGAAAAAGCTAGACTTTCAACTTCCTTTTTCCAAATTTGGCCAAATTGCCACACAGAAACAGCTAGTGAAAGAACAGTAGCTCTCCCCTTTCAGTGGGACAGGGCTCTTCAATTTGCTACAGTCTCCACCATTCACTGTCACTAAATATTATGGGCCAAATATTAGTACAAAATTATCAAGATCTACTTTTTCCTATAAACTTTTGGGGCTATTTCTATGGACCCATGAATACCAAAAGTGAAAAAACCAAAAACTACACAAGAGGGCCACATGTCTGTAGAACACATGAAAGTAAAGGATAACATTTCACATTCACCATGCAAATGCTTCTGTAGAAAGATGCAACTTAAAACACCACATGAAGGAAATTATGGGAATGCCTTATTTGTGTCATGTGCCAGGAGCACACTGTAATTTGAGTGTTTGATTCACACAGTAGTATTTCATACAGAAGGATAAATGAGAGATGTTTTGTGACATAAATTTATTATGAAGTCTTAATATTATTGCTTTTATGTTCATTCAGCTAACAATCACACAGGCTAGTTAAAAATTGTTGGTATTTGTTGCTAGGTCCTAAAAATACTTTATAGGGAAATGAAATTGTTTAAGAAGACCTTATTTAACTTCTAAAATGAGCTGCCTGAAAATACTCTGAACTTTATATTTCTAAAGCCAGATTTTATTCAAGTTTTTCTTTTTAAAAAAATTCTTCCAAGTAGTAAATAGAATAAAATAATTTTACTTCTAAAAACAGTACTTGCTTTAAAGCTACTCATAGGATTAATATAAGATAATAAACATGGAGCTATTTTAGTATTGTTTATCTTCAAAATATTCATAGCAAGAAAGCTTAAAACACAACATACATGATTTTTAGGTTCTGGTACTCCTTGGCACTGGCAACCCTTCAAACCTAGTCCCATTTAGCAAATTAGACCATTGTGTAATTTTGAAACATTGTAATTTTTAATGTGAGTTAATTATTAATTTTATATGCCACTTATGAAATCCTTGTCATTTTTCAAACATGTGTTTTGTACTACAGTAAAGATAATTTTTAATTTTCCCCCAGAGAGAAAGCAAGTTTTCAGGTTTGTTTACCATTCTCATTGCTATAGTTCATCAGCATGCCACAAAAGACAGTCAAGAGCTTCTCATTGGCGGGTTCTGTTTTACTGCACAGTGACCTTAAATGGTCAATTACAATCTGTGCACCACCTGCTTGGTCAACTGCACTTCTGCCCTCATCTGTAAAACAAAGAGTTAAATTAAAAATAAAACAAAAAAGAAATGTACCTTACAATTGCAAATACAAAACATAATAGTGTTTGTTAGTCCTTATTTAGTAAATTGAAAATAAACCTAGGCAGGGCACTAAGTATGTCTTTTTGAAAACAAAACAGAACAAAACAAAGCAAAACAAATAAACATGGAAATGGGGGTGGGATGGGAAAAAGATACAATCATTTTTTAAAAGGAAAAAGAGTATCCTCACTGGCATCACATAAGGGCTGAAAAGAACTTCTCCATGTCCTAGTTTATGCAGTGAAATTTTTTACCTCCTGTCTTTTATAAATGACAATTTTGTTTAAGACAAAAATAGGAACTAAGTGATAATTTTTTTTGGTCTAAGTTTTTGTTCCTCAGCTTGGAATCCACTAAGTATGTCTTTCTATTAGTGTAAGTCAGCTGTATCAGACAAAGTTTAGTTCTAGGTCACAATGTGTAATTCCTAAATATTACTAATAGGAGTTCTTTAATGGCATTCTCTATTCACCAGAAGCATGTTCACTATTTAATTTTTCCTTATTCCCTCTATTCTAGCTCACAACAACATATTTCAAATTATAACCAGTAGTCAAATGATGGTCAAACACTCCTTTCAGTATGTATATACCTATAAAGCACAGAACAAATGTCACTGAGCTGCTGGAACACATGAACGGCTTTAGAATACTTTCTACCCTGTGAACCTAGAATTGAAAGAGATAAAAGAATACATCTTTCTAAACTTGATCTCCTTATGTAAAATATGAGTATAAAGAACAGTGCTGTCCAATAGAACTATGAAAGTCACAAATGTGAGCCACAAATATAATTTAAATTTATTAGTAGCTTCATTAATAAGTAAAACACAGGTTAAGAAATAATTTTAGTAATATTTTATACAATCCAATATATCTAAAATATTATCATTGCAACATACAATCATTATACAAATTATTAGTGAAATATTTATATTCTCCTTTGTCTTCAAAATACAAGTATATTTTACCCTTACAGTTACTTCTCAATTTGAACAGCCACATTTCAATTGGTCAACAGCCAGACTTAGTGAGTGACTGCCATAATGGACAATTCAGCTACAGAATCAATACAAAAAACAGCTCATAAAGGAATTACAGCTATGAAATCAGTACATGAAAGATTTTCATTTTCCTAACAAAAGGACTGAAACTAAGGTCAAATTTTTTACAACTCATCCTGAATCAAATTAGACAGTGAAACTTAATACATATCATTTCTTATGGTACACAGACATATATACGCACATCACTTATATAAGCAGGCCCTCATAAATACTAGCTTCCTAATTTTGAAAAGCTTTAAAGAAATCACACTCAAATGAAACAAAATAGTTTTGTTGACTTACTTTCATACCATGCCCACTTAGTTATACAGTATTGTTAAGCAGGTGCACAACAGTGCCCTATGCTAAACAGCTAAGAAGATTACAGAAAATTATTACACTGCCAGCGTAGCTACAGAGATGAGCCAGTGAAGAATGTTGTTCAAATCTCACTTAGAGATCACTTAATTTTCCACTTGGGATGGTGACTCATGCCTGCAATCCCGGCACTTGGGAGGCTGAGGCAGGAGGATCTCAAGTTTAGGACCAGCCTGTCTTAAATACAAATCCAAAAAAACACAAAACAACAAACAAAAAACAAGGAATCTAATTTCCAAAGTTTTATTTTCCAACAACAAATGCAAACGTCCTAAATTATTACACAATTTGTATGTGGATAGCTACCAATCCAAATACTCACTCAGTAACATGGACGTATAGTATCTCCCAATCTTAGACTGGCAAAACTCAAGTAGCATTTGATTTTAACTGCTGAGTAAATATGGACTTTCAATACTTAAATTGTGCATGCTTAATACTTAAAAGAAACCTTACAAAGTAACTAAACAATACCAAGCTTATTTGCAGGAGATTTTAAAAACTAAGTTGCCTTCTGATCACTAAATTGGTCAGTGTCCAAAAAAAAATCAGTAATTCAATACATTTATTCAACAATTTTACTACTGCCGTAAGTAAGAACCTAACCATTACCTATTTGGATTTCAGAGCTATAAGGTTTCTCTGCTGTTTCCTCCTTCCATTCCCTGTTTGAATTGTCAATCATAGAGCTCTTTACTCATGAGTTATTCAGAGTCAGTCACAGAACACAGACTCAATCTCTGTATTAGAATTATATTATCAAATCTGAAAGGAAAAGCAAAACAAAGCACGCATCGCAGTAATAGCTACCTGGGGTCAGAAAACATTAACTGCCAGTGTAGGAATATTTACAGTTCCTCAGTTTTTTTCTCTCTTTTTTGACAAAACAGCCAGGGACATAAGGTGAAAGAGGATTTTATTAAAATACTTCATAGAATCCAATGATGCAAATGAATAAATAATGATGTGTTCCTTTACCAAAACCAGTGACAGAATATTAAATACATTTTAGAACAGCTACCATTGAACAAGTCCATATAAATTGGTTTTCTATGGTCAACACAGCTCTATGGCTTTATGATTATTATTATTTATTACTGACCACTTAAAAATAATTCCCCAAAGACTCATTATCATAAACTCTATGTTCCAAAAATGTCACCTCACTTTTAACTCTTTTCTTAACAAGTCACACCTAGGTTGTGAAGCACCCTCAGCTGTCACCTATGGAAATGTAATTTAGATTTGAATTTTCCATGATTTTGAGGCATTGGCCACGGGAATCATTTCTTTTGAGACCTGCTACATTCTTTAATGATGACCTATCACAGAATGCAGCTTCCAGCACAAGTATGATCACTCCTCATATTATATCTAAAGAGATACTGCACTGCACTTTCATTACTCCATCTTAAAAACAACTGTTAACATATTAAAACTCATGGAAAATCATACATCCATTCACTGAGACCCATTTTGGGAATAAGAGAAGTTTCCAAAATTCCTAAAGAATCAGCTTTAAATAAAACAATATTTAGAAGCACAGCATAGAATGGGCCAATTATGCAATATTTTCTATAATTTTGTAAAGTTATAGGCCTACAAATGTGAACAAGCCCTTTGCACTCATCCCTGTCACATTACTCATGGGACCCAACCAAACATTCACAACTTTTTAAAGATTCTACTCCCTTACATTCCCATCTTCTGCATTTTTAACAGAATCATACTCCCTACTTCACAGACAAAACAGAAGACACTAGGAACAATCTTGAGTACTTTTTCACCATTTCTGCTTCTAGACATGGAATTATATGCATTTTCCCCAATCACTTTAGTAATTCAATTTCAGTTGTAGCTAATAAACAGTAAGAAAAAGAAAGTGAACAGAAGGTAAGACTTCTTCACGTAAAGAAAACTGTAGACACATCATAAGCTAAAGCCTCTGAAGAATGGGAGAGGACACAGGATGAAACCAGGTCCAGTCCTGGTTGGCAAGGAGGGAATTTTAACTTCTTTGCTACCTAATGTAGCAATAATGTACCTAATGTTAAGAATCTCAGTCAGGCACCAGGCACCAGTGGCTCACACCTATAATTCTAGCTACTTGAGAAGGAGGCTGAGATTGGGAGGATCATAGTTTGAGACCAGTGTGGGCATGCAGTTTGCAAGACCCCATCTCCAAAATAACCAGAGCAAAATGGACTGAAGGTGTGGGTCAAGTAGTGTAGTACAAGCTTTGCAAATGCAAAACCCTGAGTTCAAACGCCAGTCCTACCCCCCCAAAAAACCAAAAAACAAAAAAACCCCCAAATTTCAGTAAGGTAAAATAGATCTTAACATCTTAACATTTGTAATGTCATTGAGGTAATGACTTGCAAGATAATTATATTATAATATAGTCTCTAAATTTTGGCTTTTGATAAGCTTCATGATAAAAAAAACAAAACACAAACTTTTAACACCTATCATTTCCTGACCTGGAAAACAGAAGGAAGAGCAGGTACACACTGAGTTTCCTTTAGATCTAATGCGCTCTTGCTCATTTTTCTCTACTGTGTCTAGCACCATATTAAAAGGAAACAAACCCTTGAATCTTTCTGTTTTTGCTTAGTAATCATTAATCACCATAAATCAGGTACTTCTTATTTTTCTTATCCACTGTTCTTAGAAACTACAAAAACTTGTGACGAATGAGAAATTCTTCAAGGTAAACTGAAAAGCTCCATTTTGAATATTTTTCTGTTGTCTTACTATCTAGAGCAATTATGACATGCTCTTTTTTAAGTAACAGAAAAGATGCATAAGGTCAAGGTAATTATAATTTAAGTCCTAGTTTACTCATGTCGGTTTGCAAAAAGTAATTGCACTTACAAAGGTACAAGTTCCTCATAATTTTGCCATTAGACTCCATTGCTATGCTAGTTTTTAGCCACAAAGATAGTTTATTATAATAGATTTTGAGCATGTGTAATATATTCCAGACAAGGGCTTCCAAACAACAGGCAATTAAAACTAAGGCTCATTTTAAATAAAGACACAAATACTACTTTGAGGATTTTTAGTTCATAACATTCAATTTTTGAACTGTGACTGGAGTTCTTGACTTTAAACTTCAAAGAGTCTGTTAGCTCTCAGTGTATAGCAGCCATATTACAAAATGCTTTAGAACACTACATAGAAACAATGCCATCACAAATTAAGGAAATGACTGATTTAATTTCACTAGACTTCTGTGATGAAACTCTAAATAAGTGTCAAATAGGATGGAATTTGTAAATATTTTCATTAAAATGTGCCTTGGTTGCCATCTTTAAATTTACATCAACTGGAAGGAACAAAGTATCAAAATTCTTCCTAAAACATTAAATACAAATTCATGACAGATTTATGTATTGAGTATATATTCCTAGTTTGATTTTTCAGATTCAGTGGTTTAATATGTTTATTTTTAAGAGATAACGTCACTAACATTGGAGTAGGCTTTTTAGACAAAAGTGTCATTTTACTTATTACAGAT